GCAGTAACACCAGGGCGTAGACGACGACCACAACATAACTGTTGACTTCCAGGAATTGTGGCCGGCATGGGGCAGAGTCTGGTAGAATAGAGGGCAGGTCAGTGCTGTAACTGTAATTACTAAAATCTTCGTCTTCAATGCCAAAATCGTCCCAGTTAAATTCTTCCATTTTTGAGGTAAACTTAGGTCTTGGCCTGTGGAAAAAGATGGAGGTTACTACACAGTAAATTCTCCCCAGATTATTGCCCATCCACCTGAGAAACTGAGATAAGAAGTGTTCTTTGCATTTGCTTGGATGTTATGTGGAAATAATTTTCACTTCAAGTTTATGAGTGGTATGGGCTCCACATTTGTGAGATGAATTTAGTAGTAAATGGTACATTTGATGAAAAGACTATATAGTTCCCTTCAATATCAGAGAACGGTCCTTTTTTTGAATTTTTAAAAAAGAATCCTTTCCTTAATTTTATTTATAATTATTATTATTTTTGATTTGACCAGAGCGAGACACCCAGAGATAGAAAGCAAGAAAGCAAGTTACCAGGTCTGGGACTCGAACAGGTCAGCCATGTGGGAGTCCAGTGCCCCTAACTACCATGTCACCTGCCAGCCTGAGTTTTTTAAATTATTATTTCATACATTTGATTGTTAAACATCATTTTGTTGTAAAGATAATTTACCCAACATGAAATACACCTTAGACCAATCCAGTCAAGAATACTACGCATTATCATCAACAGGTAATAAACCATTACTGTGTTCCACAAATGCCTTGCTTCTCTATTTTTCCCCCTAATTTCCTTCCCTGTACTCTTCCCCTCTCCCACCCTCCTTCCACATTGCAGAGAAGGGTTCTTAGCATTATCCATGACATTTCCATCAGCAAACTTTGTTGAAACGTCCCTCTGATGATCCCGACAGAACCTGTGGTCCTGGATCCCTTATGAGAGGGCATCTTCAGCTGTTGAGGCTGATTTAACATTCCGAAACTTGAGAAGCCATTCAGTTCACAATATGGGCATTAGGTAGGCAACCAATTGGGTTGTACCTCAGAGATCAAGGTCTGACCATGAACCTGAGAGGGGAATTGCTTTATCCAACTTTCTGAAAGTTATTTTGAGGAAAGTATTCTGGAAAAAGGATTTGAGTGATAGCGGCACAAAGTTTCAGAAGACTTGAGCTGAAAGAAAATTTACCTAGTTAATACATTCAAATGTTTCTCTTTGGGGAAGGAGGCCTAATCTGGGAGTATTGGTGTAGTTTGAAAAAGTATATTGAAAATGATAAGCAGGGGTGTGACTGAGTCTCACCATGGGTGGAAACATAACAGATTCCTTGGGGGACTCTGGGCAGCTATCGCTGCAATGCAGGCATGAGTAGAGTAAGCCATATGCTCACTGAATAAGAGGGCGGGGTAGCAGGGAGTAAAGACGGATGGTGGCTTTCTAGTCCAGGGGGACCCTTTTTGCCCTGCATGTACATGGCTTCATCTATCCCAGCCTCCTCTGTTCCCCCAGACATAGTCTACCTTGTGGGCTCTGCCCTTGCTACAAGGATGGCAGAGATACCGCTTCTAGGGGACCCCTACGTGTGGAGGACTGGCTACTGCCACTCTGAAGCATTAGCTTAGTTTTTCAAAGTAGACTAAAGTAAATCAGCTACCAAAATAGCTTCCTTCTGAGCCACAAAATCAGATCCCCAGAGTTTTCACTTCTTCATAGCAAGGTCTGATCATCCTATGGTCATGTTCAAGTCTATAACCTACCCCCCAAATGAAACTCAGGGCTAGAGAAGAACCAGGAAATAAAAGTCCCAGGGACCCCTCACACTCATTAGGGTGGAAATAATAATAAATAATAATAATAATAATTTATAATAGTAATAATAGCAAAGTTTGGACAATAACAGCGTGGGTGAGGATGTCGAGAAATCAGAACCCTTACATTGTTGGTAGGGATGTAAAATGGAACAGCTATTTTGCAAAAGCTTAGCATTTTCTCAAAAAAGTTAAACATAGAGTTACCATATGACCAAGCAATTCTAATTCTAGGCATATATCCAAGAGAGATGAAGACATATGTCCAGACAAAAACTGGTATCTGAATATTCATAATAGCATTCGTCTTACAGCCAAAAAGTGGAAACAACCTGAATGTTCAGCTGATGAATGGAGAGACAAGCTGAAGTATACACACATGGTGAACGTTACTCAGCCAGAAGAAGGAAGGAAGGACTGATGCACAATACCACGGGGATGAACCTTGACAACGTTTTTTTTTTTTTTCTTTTCCAGAGAGATTTTTGCTATAGGGTGTGTGCGCTTGCCAGAGACACACAGAGGGACAGAGACAGGGAAAGTGATTTCTTTCTTTCTCGCTGAGAAATCACTTTCCCTATCCCCTGTCTGTCTCTGTCTGGCAAGTGGACACACCCTATAGCAAAAACCTAAAAAAAAAAAAAAAAAAAAAAAGACACACACACACACAAACAAGAAGATTGACCAAAGAGTGAAAAGTCTTGCAAAACAAATACAGACATTAAAACAACAATGACAAAAGTCCTAAGACGGTTTTCTGTTTAATAGAAGGCAGTCTCTGTTATTGCCAATTATATATAGTAATAAAGAAAATGGAATATGATTAAGTGAAACTGAGAAAACAATGCCCTTCACACTCAAGAGTGATAAAACACTTAGCCTTTATCTTTCCAGGAAGGTATTACTTGCTCCCCTACGTGACAGGGGCCAGATAAATTGTCTTCCCGTATGTCAAGACAGGGACCAAAGATTCACTCAGTTGGTGAACCCTGAGGATGTGGAGAAGAGGGCAAGGTGCTGTCTAGTCAGGAGGATGGGGAGGCAGGGGAGAGGTGAGTAGCATGGCCGGCTTGGCCAGTGTGTATAGCAAGATCTGAAAGAAGTCGCTATCTCTGCAGTCCCATGATCAAGGGCAAGTTTGCTCAGGGACCTGAGGTTCTGTCCAGTGAAGTCATGGGGTCAAGGGCTAGTCATCTCTGAGAGCAGATGATCCACAGATGGTCTTGAGGGAATAAGTGTCTGGGGGAAGACCCATGACTACAGAGAGAGCAGAAGCACAGCTGTGAGAAGACAGGTGGGGGCAGCTGCAGAAGGGGCTTCTGAGAAGGCAATAGCAAGCGCAGAGTGCACTCCAGGTAAATCCTCACTCTGGATGATCCCATGCTCAGCTGTGCTGGAGGTGGGCTGGAGGCCATAGTGAGCCCAAGGACCAGCATGAGGTACCTGAGAGAGACCACACACGTCAGGGCAGAAAGTGGGGAACTCGGGAAAGACAACCAGGACAGGCCAATGACCTTCAGCCCCTGTGGTGGCAGAGCGGTGTTCGTTGTTGGTGTGTGTGTGTGTTTCCTTAGATAGGTTTTTTTCTATAGGGCACATGTGCTCACCAGAGAGACAGAGAGAGACAGAGAGACAGAAAGTGAGAAATCACCCCCTGGGGGGATGGCCATGCTGCAATCTCTTCTCCTCTGTTCTCTCAGGATTTGGGGCATGCATGCACACCTACCCAGAGAGTTTTAAGGTGCCAAGTCTAGGGCTCTAATCGCAGTTGTCTATGTGGGAGTCCAATAGCACAAGCATTATGCCACTTGCTGGTCCCACATTGGTTTTTTAATTTGCCAAATTCTAGAGAGGATGGATTGGTGGTTAGAAAGACAGACTAAGAGAAGAGAGATGGCTTCTCTGAGGTCTGCTCTGTGCTTCCCCATCACACGATCTCCTTTGGTTGTTACAAATACTGGGTGGTTGGAAAAGTCACGACACATTTTGCATAGAAACAGAAAAATATGTCATGACTTTTCTGACAGCCCAATAGGTACAGTTAGCCTCCATTTCCTGGTGAGAAGACTGGGGCCCAGAGAGACTCAGCCACCAGCCTGTGGTCACAGAGCCTGTAAATGGTGCAACCGGGATTCCAACTAGGTGTAAATGGTTGCACTTGGCTTGTTTCAGTTCACAATCCTGTTTCTTAGAAACAACAAGCAAAAAGAAACCACACCTTGTAAGTTAAATACATTTGGAAGCTAAGTTCTTGAGATTTCATGAAGTCAACCTATATATAGTTCACTCGCATCACTGGATTTTTCATGCATTGCTTTTTGTGTTATTCCTTAGGCCTAGAATGAAAGAAACAGCCCTTTCAGGAGTGAGGCACTGGCTAGCTCCTCCTGAGACCACCTAGTCACATTCTTGGTGACTAGGTGGGAGCTTCTCTGATTCAGTGATATCAGCAGTTCAGAAATTGTATAGAGGTGACTTCTAATTCTAATCTGTTACATGAAAATACTAGAGAATGGATAATATTTATAAGATTCTAAAAACATAAGGCAGCCATTTTTTTTAAAGAGAGATTTCTGCTATAGAGCATGTGTGCTCACCAGAGAGAGAGAGAGAGAGAGAGAGAGAGAGAGAGAGAGACAGAGAGAGACAGAGACAGAGAGACAGAGAGACAGAAAAACAGAAAGCAAGAAGTCCTCTCCCAGGGGGGATGGCCATGGCACAATCCCTTTTCCTCTGCTCTCCTCCCAGGATTTTGGGCATGCACATACATGTGCCTGGCATGAGTTTCAAGCCTCTGGGTCCAGGACTTGAACTGCAGTCAGCCATGTGGAAGTCTAGCAATATAACCATTATTACATTATCTGCTGGTCCCCAAGGCAATCTTTTAAACAATGACAACAATTTAAAGCAACTATTTTAATTTAATTCCAGGAATCTTTGTCTCTAAATAAAATCCATAATTATTTGCATTTAATTTAGGGAGATAGCATCAACAGTGTCTGCCTTGTCCCCAGACTGAATCCCAGCCAAAGCAAGGAGGGCAGGCTGCGTCTGAGAGGCTACCAGGCTAAGGGAAGTGGTGGGTGCCACCCACCTGAGTGGTAGTTGGAGAGGGTGGTAGGGAAGGAGGCAGAGGTTCTTTTGGAGCAAAGGGAGCCTATAGTGAGAGAATGAACAGACCTAGGGGTATGGGTTAGGGACCCACCAAGAGGCCTGGGATAAATGCGGGTTGGGTGTCAAGGGAGACAGGGAATAGAGATATTCTAGGTGGTAGGGAAGGTGGGGGTTCCAAGACTTACCAGGATGCTGGGCTTTTCACCTGTGGGACACCTCCAGGAGGGCAGCTGTGACCAATGAAAAGGCAATGGTGGTGAGAACACAGTGGAGGAAGTGAGTGGATTAGATTGCTCAATTCAGGGGTGGAGCTCCTGAGGGTGTGGGATGCTTTTGATAACTCTGGATAATTAATTCTCAGGTCAGCTCTTGGATACATAGCCATTTTATGGACTCACAGAGTTCAAATTGAGCAGGGATCTGTGGGGTTTTCTAACCAGTCTTCCCATTTCACAGATGAAGAAACTGAGGCCCAGACAAAGGGAGTGGTTTGCCCAGAACTACCTGGATTTCTCTCATCCTTGCTGTGATCTCGGCAACCCTGGATCCTTCAGCTGTCCTGACCCTCCCCACACTCCAGCTGCCTCGGCTTCCCTATCTTAGCCATCAGCAGCTCTGCGGGTCTTGAATGTTTCTCATGTGTCAAGGGAAAGCAACGCATGAGAACAACAGAGATGGAACTTAAGCTTCTGGTGAGTCTGGTTCTAGCTTTCCTCCCTGGTCCTACTGCCTCTGGTCTCCACCCCTCCTGCCTTCTTCCCACTTCTTGTCTTTCACCTCACTCCCCAGCAACCTGCCCTGACCGTGAGCCTCTCTTAGGACATTGCTATTCTTTTTGGCTTACGTACTTGGCATTGGGTCTGAGGACCCTGCCTCTGCAGTAGAGCCAAAGATCCTCTGACCTGGAAGAAAGCCTTTTGGTAAGAGTACAAGTCTCATCCAAGTCCAAACATTTTTTTTTTTTTTTGGAGACGTTTTCGCTATAGGGCACGTGCGCTCGCCAGACAGGCAGAGAGAGACACAGAGACAGAAAGCGAGAAATCACCCCCCGGGGGGGATGGTCACGATGCCGCAGTCCCTTCTCCTCCATTCTCCTCTCGGGATCTTGGTCATGCACGCACACACGCCCGGTATGAGTTTTAAGCCACTGGGTCCGGGACGCGAACCGCGGTTGACTACGTGGGAGTCCAGTGACATAGCCATTATGCTAACTGCTGGTTCCCCAAACAGATTTTTGAAAACAGCATTGAGTGACACCGAGAATGTATTTTGTCCCATTGATTGCGCATGAAAGGACTAATTGCAGGTAGAGCTGGGAACCCGAATTCCTTGCTTCTTCCTCGCTCCCTCCCTTCCTCCATCCCTTCCACTGTTCTTTACCCAACCTCTTGCTCCTGCATCCCAGGGCCCAGAGGGTACCCAAAGCTGCTGCTTGCCCCAGGGAAAGCGCCTTTGAGTCTGTTTAGCAAGTACTCCTCAGTGCTGATGGCCTCTCTCTCCCGTGTTGGTGAAAAATGCAATGACACCTGGCCAGCTGGTGCTCAAACCCAATAGAGGCTCATTACACACGGAGAGGGGCAGATGAGAGCAGTGGCCTTTCCTTTCCGAGTCTCAGTTTACTCATCTGTAAAAAGGGACTGGTAGGACCCAACTTACCAGGTTGTGCTGAGGATGGAATGAGGGATTACCTGTAAAAGTACAATGTTAGTTTTTGTTGTTGTGATCATTGCTATTGAAATAGTTGGGACCAGCAGGTGGTATGGTGATTAAAGTGCTGGTCTCCCCCTGTGGTCAATCACGGTTCGAATCCTGGACCTGGAAGCTTGCTTTCTCACTTTTCCTCTCTCTCTTTGTTCAAATTAAAATAATAATAATGATGATGATGGATAAACTTAAATTAAAATTCTAAAAAAAACAATAGTTTATTAACTAGGACATACTGTCTCCCCCACTGTATCCCCAAATCAAGGGAAAGCAAAAGTCTGCTTTCAAGGCTGACTTTGATGTAGACCTTAATTTGCTTCGACCTGGATAACATATTAGCCTTCTGCTGAGTGGTTACTGGGTTCTAGCTTTGGAGCCAAGTAGAATTTGTATCATTTAATCCTCACGACAGCCCCATGAGGTAGGCACTTTCAGGATGAGGAAATGAAGACTACTCTGCGATGTTAAGCAACTTACCTTGAGTGACACAGCTAAAGTGGTTTTAGGCAGCTTTAAAACTTTTTTTTTTTTAAAGAGAGTTTTTTTGCTATAGGACACATGTACTTGCTGGAGACACAGAGAGAGACACAGAGAGAAAGTGAGAAATCACCCCCCTCCCCAGAGGGGAAGGCTATGGCACAATCCCTTCTCCTTCATGCTCTTCTTGGGATTTGGGGCACACATGCACACACACCTGGTATGAATTTCAAGCTGCCAGGTTTGGGTCTTGAACCACGGTCAGCCATGTGGGAGTCTACCTCCTTGACTACTATGCCATCTGCTGGCTCTAAAATCATTTTTAAATCTGCTCTCAAATCTTGTGTTCTGTCCACTGTACAAGGAGCTGGATCCCAGCTTTGGGATTCTGAACTACTCTGGGTACTTCTCCGTCTCACAAAATCACACCTGAAGAGATAGACAGGGGAGCCGAGATTGGACACTTCCTGTCAGTCCACCTCTTGATTTCATCCCCATTGAGCTCACTATATATATTTATATATACACACGCCTATGTAGGTGTCGTGAATAGAACCTGGCCTCCAATCCTGTTTCCTCTCTTACTGGTTTTTCTTCTCTTACTGGTTTCTTCCCTTACTTACCCAGGTCGCTTACTTCTGGAGCTGGATAAGTCATTTCTCTGTGGGCCTTAGAGAACGGGGAGACTGTTAGAGGTCTGTCCTGCCTAGTGTGGTAGCTACTAGTCACATGTAGTGATTTAAATTTAAACAAATTAAAAAATAGGAATTCAGTTCCTCGCTTGTGCTAGCCAGGAGTGAGCTTACCGAGCATTTTAAGTGCCCAGTAAGCACTTAGGATAGTGACTACCACGTTGGACAGGGCAGATAGAGACCATTTCACAGAAAGTTCTTCTGTAGAGCATGAGGCAAAGACTGAGTTATATTCAAGTCTGAGGTTTTGAAAGTCATCACCCCAGTTCTCAGGAGCCTCAGAGGAACCGAAGTCTCCAGTTCCCTTCTGTCAGAAGCAAGCCCCAAGCAGCCCTAAGACTGAACGGCCCACCTACCTGCCGTTGCTGCTGCAGGAGTTGCTGATATTGGAGTGGTGGCTGTCACTCGAGCTGTGACTCAAGGCTTGGTGCAGTCTGAGCTGTTGGACAGGGGAAAAAAAGTGAAGCAGACTTGATGGGGCAACTTCTGACCCAGGCTTGTTAAGGGGGAAATCTAAGAGGCCCACCAGGGGAGGTGTTCCTACAGAAGAACAATAAGGACTAGGACTCTGACCCTAGGCCAAGGTCTTTCCCCCGCCCCCCCAGGTAATTCTAGGATAAGCTCTGGATTTTTTTTTAATGCCTTCCTGCCTAATGGCGTCTGGAGAAGCCTGCCAGTCTGAAGGTGCAGGTTTGCCTAGGTCATCTGCTGTCTCTGAGTGTTTTGAACTTGCACCTCCTGTTTAAAGAAGGAAGATACAGGATTCCAGCCTCCCCATTGCACACACACACACACACACACACACACACACACACCCGCCCGGTGACAGACTTGCCTGAACTTGAATGCAGTTTCTTCCTTCCATCAGGGACAGCGTGACAAAGTGTCCCTCTTTCCATTTCTGGGGAATCCCTGCACTTGACTACGTGGGACCCACCGCCTCGCTCATCCTTCGGGCTTCTGCCTCCTGTCCTTTCTGTCCCTCAAATGGTTCTTCCCCTTTGGCTCCTGAACTTGCTTATGTCTCTCTTACCCTGTCTCTGTCCTAGGACCCCTTAACCACTACTCTACCAGGTCCTCTTTTTTACAGGCAAATGTACTGAAAAAGGGGCAGTTAACGCTCTCCACTTCCTCACCGTCTGCTGCTCGACAAGCACGCTGCAGCCAGCTTCCTTCCTACCGCTGGCTGAAACAGCCGTTGCCAAGATGGTCAACCACCTCTTTCAGAAGCAAGTCTCCAGCAGCCCTAAGACTGATCAACTCACCTACCTGCTGTCGCGAATCCGTCATTTCACTGCGGGCCTTGGTCATCGGCTAAAGCCAGCTTTAATAGAGTAATAAAAATAAAGCACCCATATGATACAGAGGACAGACAGCACCCGAGCCTGTCAGGGAAGGCTGGAGTCTCTTTTCATTCCTCTGTCCACGTGTATATTTCCCCAGAGGTAATTACTGTCCACAACTTGCGGAGTGCACATCTTTTCAGATAGCTCGCCATGCAAAGGCCTAGCGTGTTGTCCTTAATTTAAAAAAATTATTTTTACTAGTTACGTTGTCCTGCTCCTTAACAATATAGCATGGACCTATTCCACATCAGCGCGTAGATCCCACTTATTCTTTTCGATGACCACATCATAGCCTGGTAGGGATGCATCATGATTTATTTGGTAATTACCTTCTAGATGAATATTTAGGTTCCTACTGTGAGCATCCTCGGCTGTAGGTCTTTGGGAACTTGTGTGAGTATTTTTTCAGCTTAAGTATACTTTTGCTGGATGATATTGATGCACATTTAAATTGCACTAAGTACTATCAAACTGCTTCTCCAAAACACTGTCAGTTTACTCTCCCATTATCAGTTTTTTTCTTTTCTGCTTTTTTTGAGTGAGATTTTTTTTTCCTTTTTTTTTTTCAGTTTTTTTTTATTTTATTTTTTTATTTTTTAGAAGAGGTTTTTGCTATCGGGCGCATGCGCTCGCCAGACAGACAGAGAGTGTCAGAGAGATAGAAAGAGAGAAATCCTCCCCTGGGGGGTTGGCCCCGCCACAATCCCTTCTCCTCCATTCTCCTCTCAGGATCTTGGGCACGCACGCACATGCGCCTGGCATGAGTTTAAGACACCGGGTCCGGGACTCGAACCGCGGTCGACTATGTGGGAGTCCAGCAACATAGCCATTATGCTAAGTGCTGGTCCCTTGAGCGAGATTTTTGCTATAGGGCATGTGTGCTTGCCAGAGACAGAAAGTGAGAAATCACCCCCTGGGGGGCCGGCCACAAGGGTTTGGTGGCAGTCCTTTCTCTTTCATTCTCCTCTTGGGATTTTGGGTACACAGGCACACGTACTCTGGCTTGAGTTTCAAGCCACCAGGTCCAGGTCTGGGACTCGAACTGTGGTCAAATACATGGCAGTCCAGTGTCATAACCACTAAGCCATCTACTGGTCCTCCATTATCAGTTTATTTTTTTTTAATTGTGTATATTGTTATTATTATTATTTTTAAAAATTTGACCAGAGCAAAATTCCAGGTTTAAGACTTGAACCACAGTCAGCCATGTGGGAATTTAGCGCCTTAACCACCACACCACCTGCTGGCCCTCTGTTGTCAGCTTCTTAAAGGGCCTCTTATCCTGTACATTCACTATAAACATTGTATATATTTTATACAGTCTTTTTTTTTCTCCAGGCAGGTAGATAGTAGAAAATGATATCTCATTGTTTGATTTGTATTTTTTTTTATTGCTGGGCTGGTGAGATCAAATGTCTCTTCCTTTTGCTATTTGTATTTTTCTTTTGTGAATTACGTTTTTTTTATCTGTTTGCATTGAATTGTCATTTAGTCATTGATTAGTAGGTACTCTTTATATAACTTAAGATTATTACATTTTGAATATTTGTCAATTATGTTAAACCATCTTCTCTCAGGGTGAGGAAGTCTTATCTTACTTGATCTGTACATCACTGAATTCCACAAATCCATTCTTGTCTTACTTTCCCTATTCTCTCTTAGTCTCATTTTGCTTTCTTTTTCATTCCATTCTTCAGATATGGATGTTCCTTAGAGCCTTTCTTAGTCTTCTCTTCTCATTTTACCTATGCTCCTGCTTGCATGGCTTCTGCTACCACCTGATATGCAGGTATTTCTCATACTTATTCTCACCAACCTGCTTCTATTCCCACACCCCCGACAGGGCACATGTACTTGCCAGAGAGAGACCAAGAGAGAGAGAGTGAGAAATCACCTCTTAGGGAGGATGGCCACGCTGCAATCCCTTTTCCTCCATTCTCCTCTCAGGATTTTGGGCATGCACACACATGTGCGTGGTGTGATTTTCAAGCCACCAGGTCTGGGACTCTAACTGCGATTGGCCACATGGTAATCCAGCACCTTAACCACCATACCACCTGCTAGCTTCTCTTCTAAGCTCTAAGCTCTGACTCTTGAAGTCTCCTGAGATCTCTCAGGTGCTACAAACTCAGTATGTGAAAACCGATGTCATTGGCTTTCCTGACCTGTGTCCTCACCTCACATATTCCCACACCCATGCCTCTACCTAAGCTGGATGCACACTCTCCCCTCACCTCATGGTCCCCCCTTTCTTCCTCTCCCTAACATTGTTCTTTTTTTTTTTTTTTCTGGAGAGGGTTTTTTTTTGTTTTGTTTTGTTTTTTTTTTTTTTTTTGCTATAGGGCCCATGCGCTCGCCAGACAGACAGAGAGACAGAAAGCGAGAAATCACCCCCCAGGGGTGATGGCCACGCCGCAATCCCTTCTCCTCCATTCTCCTCTTGGGATCTTGGGCACGCATGCACACGTGCCCGGAGTGAGTTTTAAGTCACTGGGTCCGGGACGTGAACCGTGGTTGACTACGTGGGAGTCCAGCGATATAGCCATTACGCTAACTGCTGGTCCCCCCCTAACATTGCTCTTGACTATTTCCTCCTCGTCAGCTTCACTGACAGTGTTGGACGATCCTTCATTCTCGGCTACAGCAACAGTCTTGCAATAGCTGTGGGCTCCGCAGTTGGCCTGAGTGAGGATCCCCTTACTACGTATGGGCTTTGGGCAAAGGATGTAATCTCCCTGAGAAGAGATGCTTCATCATCTGTAAAACGGGGGTAATCAGAGCACCGACTATGTAGGGTCGTTATGTGGGTTAAATGAGTCTGAATGTATGAAGCACTTAGAGCAAAGGTGGCACCATGCTTTTTCTCCTTCTCTTCTCCTCTTAAATGATCTGTCTCTGCCTCAAGTTTTCACTCCACTCACTGCCAGGATGATCTTTCTAAAATATGATATATATATATATATATGTAGTTTTTGCTATAGAGTGCATGCGCTTGCTGGAGAGAGACAGAGAGAGAAGGAAAGTGAGAAAGCACAGAAGCATTCCCTAGAGGAGATGACCACACTATAATCTCTCCTCCTCCACTCTCCTCTTGGGATTTCGAGCATGTACACACACACACACCTGGTGTGTTTTTCAAGCCCACTGGGTTCTGGGACTCAAAACACCCAGCTGGCCATGTGGGATCCAGCTGTCTTAACAACCATGCCACTTGGCTGGCCCCTAAATTACGAATGTGTTTTCTTCTTAAAACCCTTCAAGAATCCCCATTGCCCTTGGGTAAAGTCAAACTCCTGACCTGGATACCTGGCATGCCTCCCTCTGACCCTGTTACTTCAGGCCACCCCCTCAGAACCCTTGACTTCAGCCACTGGGAACGACTTGTGGTTCTCCAAGGAACTGTTCTGACTCCCTTGGGATCTTGACACACATTTCTCTTTTTCTTGGGATGTTCTTCCCCAACTTCTTGGTCTGGCCAATTTTCTCTTTTCTTTCCAAACTTAGTCTAGGTTTTATAACCCGTCATGCTGGGCTGCTTCCTTTCCACATCGTGAGGTTCTTTTTTTTTGGAGAGGTTTTCGCTATAGGGTGCGTGCGCTCGCCAGACAGAGAGAGACATAGAGACAGAAAGCGAGAAATCACCCCCCAGGGGGGATGGTCACGCTGCAGTCCCTTCTCCTCCATTCTCCTCTCGGGATCTTGGGCACGCACACACACGCGCCCGGCTTGAGTTTTAAGCCATCGGGTCCAGGAAGCGAACCGCGGTCTACTACATGGGAGTCCAGCGACATAGTCATTACGTTAACTGCTGGTTCCCACACATTGTGAGGCTCTTGAAAACAGATATTTTACATATCAGAGATGTTATATGTATCAGAGAATTTCAAAAAGTTTGTGGAAAAGTAGAATGAAAGTATGAGTTATTTTGGTGCAAAAACATTTTGAAATTCATGCATGGTTCATGGCTTTTTTTTTTTTTTTTTTTGAGAGATTTTTGCTACAGGGTGTGTGTGCTCGCCTGAGAAACAGAGAGAGACAGAGAGACAAGAAGTGAGAAATAATCCCCCACTGGAGATAGCCACACCACAGTCCCTTCTCTCTCATTCTCCTCTCAGGATTTTGGGCATACACGCACATGTGCCTGGTGTGAGTTTTAAGCCACTAGGTCCGGGACTCAAACCTTGTTTCACTACATGGGAGTCCAGCGAAGTAACCCTTACACCCTGTGCTGGCTCCTCATGCATTTGTGAAAAGTAGTATGTATTTTTCACGAAATGGGGAGGGTCTTCACAAAGTTCATAGAAAATGTGTATTAAGGGGCTCACCCCAGCATCAGTGGTTAAATGATGTGCATCAGAAGCTGGATCCTACATTGACCAGTCGTGGTGGTTTGAATCCTAGCCCTGATTCTCTTTCCTCTCTGGTGAGTGAAAAAGTCCTCTGGTGATTAAAAAAATGTGTTTGTAATGAAACTACGCATGGATTTAAAATAATTTTTTAATTGTCAGAGGGCATGTGCACTTGCCAGAGTGGGGGGGAGGAGAGAGAGAGAGAGAGAGAGACTTTCTGTGTGAGGAGCACGGTCACGCTGCAATCCCTGTGTCCCCTTCTCCAGCCCACCAGGATTTTTGGCATGTGCGCACAGGAACCAAGGTAGTTTTCAAGCCCCCGTGATGCTGGGACTAGAACTGGGGTCAGCCATGTGGGATCTGGTTTCCCTTAACCACCAGGCTGTAGGACAAGATTTCAATTTTTTTTTTTTCGTTTTTGCCATAGGTCACCTGCATTTGCCTGAGAGAGGAGAGATAGATAGAGACAGAGAAAGGGAAAATGAGAAATCACCTCCAGAGGGGATGGCCATGCTGCAATCCTTTCTTTCCCGTTCTCCTTTTCTGATTCCGGGCATGCATGCACATGCACCCAGCATGATTTTCAAGCCACCAGGCCTGGGAATTGAACCATGGTTGGTCATGTAGGAGTCTAGGGCCTTAACTACCATGCCACCTGCTGGCCCCTAGATTTCAGGGTTTTTTTGCACCAAAATAAACCAGTACCTTAATTGCATTTTTCCACGAACTTAGTGAAGTCTTCTTGTGTTGATCTCTGTATCCCCAGCCACTCACACTGTTTGGCATATCATAGGTGCATAATACATCTTTGTGGAGCCCTTAAGGAACTGACAAAGTTTGGGGAGATGCATACACATTGGAGTACCTTCTTTATATCTAATTAGGAGAAATAAATCCGTTGCCCAAATTTCCCAGGGACTCCCAAACCTGGGAGCATCGGTAAAGTCCCATCTGGTAACAGCCCAGAGTGCAATGGCTTAGGTCCTGTCTGCTCATGCAGGTGTGTCAGCCCCATGCAGCGCTCCTCAGGGGTTTAGAGGGGTCTTCTGGGGGCCTCTCCTATGTGCTGCTCTGGGCACTGCTCTTACTGAATACATGCCTTGGAGTGACTGCTGAAAGACTGGTGCCCTTGCAGTGCCAGACACTGGGGTGGCCCATGGTGACGTTTGTGGAACTCTGTGCTAGAGGGTCCCAAAGTCTAATGAACTCTTCTGGGTTCCTCTTTGTTTATTTATTTTTATTTATTTTTATTGCTAGAGAGTATGTGTACTTCCCAGAAAGAGGGGACAGAGAGATAAAACACTCCCCAGTGGGGTGCCCCTTCTCCTTCATTTCTCCATCCTGTTGGGAATTTGGGCACATCTGGGCATGTGCCCAGTGTGTTCTTCAAGCTGCTGGGGCTGGGATTTGACCCACTTGGTCGGCTATATGGGATCCCACTCCCTTAACCACTAGGCCATGGGGGTTCTGGGTTCTTCTAGACCTTTTTTGCTCTCTGTCGAGCTTGGTGGGGACTCTACGGGGTGGTGTTGAGCTAAGGGCTCGTTGTCAGTGTGGCCCATTCTTTTTGAAATTGGGAAGAGAAAGTCAAGTTCCCTCATTCCTGGTCCCTGGTTCCTTTTGGATGAAATTCTCTTTCAGGAACATCTCGCTTCTTCTTAGAAAACAGGCTTCTGCTAGCCACTCCTCTCCCACCCCAATTCATTCATCAGGAAGGTTTGAACTCCATGCTGAAATTCGTGCTGGAATATCATTTCTTCTCCTATAATAGGAAGCCTGCTTTAATAAAAGCGGTGTCTCATCTCCAGAGAGAACAGCTACCCTTTTTAGGGGCAATTCTACTGTCCTATTGCTCTGGAGCACCCACTTCCTCCCCCACCTTGTTACCGTGTTCACGAAGGAGAAGTTGTCACCAGCTCTCCAGGGCAGAAACTGTTGTTGCAAAACTCTTGCTCCATGTGAAGCCAGTGGGATGCAACTTTGGGTGGCCACAGGCTCAGGTCAGAGTCACAGGATTGCCCAACTGCTACAGAGGCTCATAAGGCAGAGGAACGGGGACCACATGAGTGCCTGATCGGGGCACAGAGTGTGCCCTAGAGCCCGGGTGGGCAGCTGATTGCCTCGACATAGAGTCAAGCTCCAACTCCTTCTGAAACAGTATTCTCGGAACTACCACAATTAGGTGCCAGGGAATGACACAGAATTTGTGCAAGCCTTCTTGATCTTATGCCACGTTTTATAATCACCAGTGACTGTCTTTACCAAAGTTTGGGGGAGCAAACACTGCACAGAATCACCTGGACTCAGCCTCTCCCTCCAGACGCTCACAGCCTGGGACTGATCAAGTCACCATAGTGGCTGGAAGGAGGGGACAGAGAGACCCTCGCCCTGTTCCTCTCCTCTCCTGCCCACCTAACCCACTTACCCGATGGAACACCTGGGATTCTCAGCACTGCTGATGAGAGGGCACATTATACAGCCTCTTTGGGAAATAGTTAGACTTTTAAATTTTTTTAGAATTATTTTCTTTAACTTTATTTATTTACTTATTTTAATTTGAACAGAGAGGGAAATAGAGAGAGGAGAGAGAGAGAGAGAATAAGCCATCAGGTCCAGGACTCAAACTGTAGTCGGCCATGTGGGAGTTCTGTACCCTTAACGACCACGCTACCTGCCGGCCCCAACAGTTTCTTAATATATATATATATATATTTCAAATTGCCAGAGGGTGTGTGCAACTTGCCAGAGAGATGTGGGGTGGAGGAAGAGGGAGAGAGAGAAAGCACTCTCCCTGTGGGGAGTGGTCATGCCTTTACCCCTTCTCCATTTTTCCACCCCGTTAGGATTTCGGACACACACATACATGTGTATGTGCTTTTCAAGCTGCTGGGCCTGGGATTTGAACCGTGACTGGCCATGTGGGATTTGGCTTTCCTTAGTTACTAGACTTTGGGGCCACCACGACAGTTTCTTAAAAGTTAAATGTATACCTACCATGTGACCCAGCCATTTAATTCCTAGATATTCACCCAACAGAAAGAAAAGTATGTATTTACACAGGTTCATCTACAAGTGCTCATAGAAACTTTATTTGCAATAATCCCAAGTTGGGAATAACCCAAGTGTTCAGCAACAGGTGCATATATAAATAGCTAAGGCATATCGGTGCATGGAATACTGCTCCCCAATAAACAGACTAGTGACATACATGACAGTGCCGATGAATCTCAAAATAAATATGCTGAGTGAAAGAAGGAAGGTAAGAATGAATGCAGGGGCCAGCCAGGTGTGTGGTTGTCAAGGCGGCTGGACCCCACATGACTGTGAGGTTTGTGTCCCAGACTTGGTGACTTGAAAATCACCCTGGGTGCGTGTGCGTGGGTGCCCAAAATCCTAAGAGGAAATTGGAAGAGAAGTGATTGTGGCATGGCCATCTCCCCTGGGGGGAGCTATCTCACTTTCCCTCTCTCAGTCTCTCCCTGGCAAGTGTACACACTCCATGACAAAAGTTAAAAAAAATATATATATATACATATATACACTGTACAATTTTCTTTATGTAAAATCCTAGAAAATGCACATATGGTAAGAGAAAGCAGAGTGATGTCTGGATATGGAGGGGTGGGTAAGGGATCTGAAGAAACTTTGGGACTTATTACTTTGAAGGCAGTGATGGTTTCACAGGAGTATATTATAGTAAAAACTCACCCAATTGTACAGTGTATATAACATTTATTAGATGTCAAAAGTACCTCAATCAAGTTGTTAAAAATCTGACGAAACAAGAGAAAATAAACATGGGTGCCTGAAAAGGTATCTATGAACAATCTTCTTTTTTTTTTTTTAACAGTGTATATAACATTTATTCTATGTCAAAAGTACCTCAATCAAGTTGTTAAAAATCTGACGAAACAAGAGAAAATAAACATGGGTGCCTGAAGTGGGTTGCAGACAGGAAGCTCCTGGAGAACTGGAGATGGTGAAGGTGCTGCTCCGGGCGTTGTGGAGGGTTGGCACTGCAGCTGGGTGAGGAGGTGTACCCAGGAGAAATGTTAGGCCACTGGGTCTGCTTCACAGACAAAGGGCCTCCAGAGAGGAGGGAGCCTGACTCTTTTACGCTAGGAAAAGATTGACAGAGCTAAAGGCACTGCCAAAGTCACCCAGCTCGTGGGTGGTAGACCAGAACCTTCTGACTGTCAGGCCAGTTCTTTCTACTCCTCATCCCACAGTCTGTCCACATCAGTGCTGTGGCTTTAGAGCACCAGCTTTGAGCAGGCAGGAGCGGACAGGCCAGAGGACTGGGAGGAGCCAGGGGAGGGAGTGGGCGGGTGGACGGGGTAGGTGGGTGGGGTGGCGAGTCCTGGCCTGGTGCTGGTCAGGTGATCTGGGTTTCTCCTCCCTGGGCGCAGGGTGGGCAGAGGCGCTCTCTCTTCTTGAAATCCGCAGAGCAGGCATGGCAAACCAGGCCACCGCAGAGCCTGGCAGGCAGACGGGGAAGAGTGGGGCAGCCTCTGCAGCTGGCCTGGGGGAGCCCTGGGTATGCGAAGGGTTTAGGGAACTCTGACATCTTCAGATGACTGTCTGTTTCTCACCTCCCCGCAGAATGGCCTTCGGTCTATCTCGGGAAGTCTCCCTTTTCCTAAAGGCTCTCCTGTTGCCGGGCCCCTCCAGAGCCTCTAGCTCTAGATGACAGACTTTCACCATGGGCTCTTTCCTGTCTCCCACTGCGTGCCCTGCCACCACCACTGTGATTGCAAAGGAAGGCGAGGGTGGCACAGGAACGCCCTTCTCAGAAAAGAAGCCCATTGGGGACCCACAGGTGGCGAAATGGTTATGTTCCTGGACTCCCACATAGTCGACCACGGTTTGAGTCCCGGACCTGGCGGCTTGAAACTCATGCCAGACATGTGTGCATGTGAGTCCGAAGTCCTGAAAGGAGACGGGATTGTGGCAAGGCCTTTCCCTCTAGCGGGTGCTTTCTCTTGCTTTCTGTCTCTTTAGCAAATGTGCACACCCTACAGCAAAAATTTCTCTTAAAAAAAAAAAAAAAAAAAAGAGGAAGAGAAGTCCATTTCCCAGCCTAAGTTTGCAAGGTGTCACAATCTCAGTCCATTAGCCAGCCTAAGTTTGCAAGGTGTCACAATCTCAGCTTCCAGAACCTCACTCCAGATCTGATCCTCACTTTCTCATTCATGACTGTTTAGGGTTGGAAGCCAGGCAGGGTAAAACGAGTGGCTGGCTTTAAGTGGCCTTTCGTAAATGCTCCCTTCCCCAGGGTGGGAGGGGGGCTGTGGCTGGTGGAAACTGGGTTGTTCCAGAGGTCGGATTCTGTGCTTTCCTTACCTGCACGGATACCTCCGAGACAGCCGGCCAAAGATCTTGCTACAGGCAACGCAGCATCCAGGGGCCACCGAAGAGAGATGCTGCAGCTTCTGCCACTGGCGGTCCTTCTCTCTGATGCGGGCAGGGAGGTAGACACACAGACAGACAGGAAGACAGAAAGATGGAAATGACCCAGATGGTGAGACAGAGAAGGACCGGAGAAATACGGAGAAAAGAGGAAGAGAGAGGGATGGAGAGAGTGACAGAGGGAGTCTCACAGAGACACACACAGGGACGAAGAGAGACAAGAGAAAGAAACAAGATAGAGAGGCAGAAAGATACAGCCATGAAAAGGGACACAAAGAGGGACAGAGAAACAGTCACTCAGAGAGGGAAAGGAAGTCAGAGAGTGGGAGGAGGAGACGGAGAGACAGAGTAGTATACAAAAGTATACGGACAGTGCAGAGGGAGAGAGAAAGAGAAGACAGAGACGTAGAGAGACAGAGGGACAGAGGAAGACACACACACAGAAATGACAAGGCAGTGAGAGAAACACACACATACGAGATTCAGTCTCCTGGAAAGGTGAGTGGTACACCCAGCCCCTCCTAGCCCACATAGCCTTGACCCATTAAGAAGCTGTGCACATCCCACCTCCTCCAAGAAGCCTTCCCTGACCATAGAAGCCCTGGGGGGGGGGGGGTGTGCTCCAGGCGGGTTGTGCTCCAGGCTCCTACAGCACACAGCATCTTTTATTTGGCATTTGGTACAAACTGCCTTGAAGTTATGAATGCTTATGCTTTTAACTATCTTCACTGTTGTTTTTAAGGATGCTTAGGAATATGAGTTGTTTTAGATGTTTGTCAGAATAATACACATACATAATTTAAAAAAAGAAAACCCAAATAGTACAGAAGGGCTTTTACCAGAGGGTAGGAGACACCCTCCCCACTTCTTCCCATTCTCAGTGGCAAATCATTTCTTACTACTTTTTGCCTTTTCTCTTTGGTATTACTTCCACAATTAGGATACTCATATCCTGGGGCTGGCAGGTGGCTGGACTTTCGCATGGCTGACCATGCCATGGTTCAAGTCCCGGACCTGGCAGCTTGCTTTCTCACTTTCTCTCTCTGGTCAAATTGAATAACAGTAGTCAATAAGATAAATAATTCTTTTCTTTTTTTTTTAAGATGCTCATATTCCTCCCCCCCCTTTTTTTTTTGCTGTAGGGCACACGTGCTCCCAAAGAGACTCATAGAGAGATAAAAAATGAGAAATCATTCCCTAGGATGACCACATGGCAATCCTTTCTCCTCCATTCTTCTTTTGGGATTTTGAGCACGCACACATATGTGCCCAGTGTGTTTTTCAAGGTGCCAGATCAGGGACTTGAACTGCGCACTTGCCCATGTAGGATCCAGTGCCTTAACCACCACACCAGTTCCTTTTTTTTGTTTTTCACACCAGCTCCTTTTTGATTTAGCAGTGCAGAATGTTTTCCTATAGCACCCTTTCTCTTTATATCAGAGGGTTTAGCTTATTCATAAACTAAGCCATTTTAATGAACTCTTCCTCCTTCCTGCAAATGCAGTTTGGGTTTCTCTATTGGTTACCATCGTAATTTTACTGCATATGCTTGCATATTTGTTTCTCATTCTGATAACCATAGGCAGTTTCTTATGACCTCCATTTTGTAATACGATGAGTCAGCATCCCTTCCCTTCAGCTCTCCTCCTTCTTTCACCTCCTGATTTGTGCCTACAGCATCCAATATGGTAACTACTAGTCATTATTTAGATGAATTAAAATCAAATAAAATGGGGCCAGTAGGAGGTGTGGTAGTTAAGGCGCGGGATTACCACATGCCGACTGTGGTTTGATTTTGGACTTGATGGCTTGAAAATCAAAAGTGACCAGCAGTTGGTGTAGTGGCTATGTCACTGGACTCCCATGTAGTCAACCATGGTTTGAGTCTTGGACTCGGGGGCTTAAACTCATGCCAGGTGCATGTGCGTGCGTGCCCAAGATCCCGAGAGGAGAATGGAGGAGAAGGGATTGCGGCGTGGCCATCCCCCTGGGGGTGATTTCCAGCTTTTTGTTTCTCTGTCTCTCTCTGTCTTTCTAATGAGCACACGTGCCCTATAGCAAAACCTGTCAATAAAACAAACAAACAACAAAAAAAACCCAAAAAACAAAACCAAAAACAAAACTAAAAAAAAAGAAGAAAACACAACAAATAAATAGATAATAAATAAATAAATGTTTAAGAAAATTAAATGCAATAAAACATCGATTCTTCAGTGGCACCAGCTCAATAGTTCAAGAGCTGTTTCTACATGTGATTATCAGCTACCGTAATGGATGACATAAATACAGAGTATTTCTATTTTCAAGGAATATTTTACTGGCTTTTATTCTATACTTAATATTGTTATGTTCCTTTTATTTATTTTTTACCCTTCTTAATTTTGCTATGGAGCATGTGCACTCACTGGAGAGAGAGAGGGAAAGTGAGAGATCACCTTCCAGGAGGCAGGGCCATGCTGCAGTCTCCTGTCCTCTATTCTCCTCTTGGAATTTTGGGCATGCACACACACATGCCTGGCATGTTTTCCAAGCTGCTGGATCCAGGACTCTAACTATGAAGTTGGCCCTGTGGGATCCTGCTGCACTAACCTCCACATCATCTACTGGCCCTGTTCTGTTTCTATAATTATTATCATCTTTTATGTTTGCCTTTAGGTTGATTCTATCATTGGAAAAAAAATGAATAGTATTCACATTAATGGAGAGTATATATAGCAAAGTGTCTTTACCATCTAAATGACCTATAGTGATAAAATGTATAAATAATTAAAATTAATAAATTAACAAAAGTTAGACAAAAAGAGAGAGAGAGAGAGAATATAGATATACATTGCTTTCCATAGAGCTGTGTTCTGTAACGTCTGCTTCTTGGAAGACTTGTTTTTTCTAGGAGTTTCAAATTGCCTTTCTTTGCTCCTAGAATTACTTACCTTAAACGTATTTCCCTCCAAATTCTTCATTCTATCAGGTATTTTCTTGAGCCCCCTTCTCCTCAGAGACTTTCCTCCTGGGCCCTTGATACTTCTGCTATGGCCTAGACTGCTTCCTGGGTTGCTGCCCACTTGTTGTCTGGGAATTCCCTTTTCTTCTCTCCTAGGCCAGAGCAATTGCTCCCTGAATTCCACACCTTCTCCTTTCTTGGCTTACTTCCTTGTTTTTCTGGAGCACATCCCTAACTAACTTCCTAAGAAAGTCTGTGTGGGAGATGAATTTTCTAAGACCTGTCTGTCCAAAAAAATGTTTCTATTCCATCGCTTTCCTCACTTATTTTGTAATTTGGCTGGACACAGAATTCTAGGGCAAAGATCAGCTTTCTTCAGAACTTGAAAAATAGTGCACCATGAACTCTCTCTCCCTTTTTTTTTATCTTTTATTTATTTATTTTTTATATTTTGCCATAAGTGAAAAAAGAATTTGCACTTGCAGATACAAAGAGAGAGGGAAAGTGAGAAATCACCCCTTCAGGGGGATGGCTATGCTGCAATCTCTTCTCCTCCATTCTCCTCTTGGGATTTTGGGCACACACGCATGTACGTACACCTAGTATGATTTTCGAGGTGCTGGGGCTCCAACTGTGGTCGACCACGGAGCCCAGCTCCTTAACCACCATGTGAGCTGTAGGTCCCACGCTTTGAAATCCTGACGTGCATTTAGTTCTACTTCTTTTATCGGTCACCTGTCTTTTATCTTTGTTTTACTGCAGTTTCACAGTGATGTATGAGGTGTGGGTTTTGCTTGTTTGTATTGTCAATCATTTATCATGCTGGTCACTTAGTGAAATCTTTAATCTGAAGATTGGTGTACATCATTGTTGGGAAATTCTTTTGTATTTCTATTTTTGTTATATTTTACTTGCTTATTTCCTCCATTTTATTCTTTTCTCTTTGGAACTTTGTCAGTTGGCGAAAATATTGGAACTCTTAGATTGAGCCTTTTTTTCTTTTTTCTTTTTTTGGTAGGTTTTGCTAAAGGGCATGTGCCCTCACCAGAAAGACAGAGAGAGACAGAGAGACAGAAAGCAAGAAATCACCCCCCAGGGAGGATGGCCACGCCTCAATCCCTTCTCCTCCATTCTCCTCTCAGGATCTTGGGCATGCATGCAAACACGCCCAGCGTGACCAGGTCCGGGACTCAAACTGTGGTCAACTACATGGGAGTCCAGCGACATAGCCATTACACTAACTGCCGGTCCAAAGATTGAGTCTTTATATCTAATTATTTCTTTCCCAACTCCAATCTCTCTGTGGTTTTTATTCCACTTTCTGAGAGACTGCCTTATTTTTCTCCTCCATTTCTTTATGTGCTTTTATTCATTTTTTTTTGAATTCAGTGATCATGTTTTAATTCCCAAGAATGTTTCTCATCTTTTGACAGTTACTCATCTCACTTTTGCCCTATGTATTTCTGGGATCTCTGGATCCTGAAATTCTAACTTGTTTCTTTCATGGGAGATGGATATTCTTTGTATGTTTGTTTAACTTTATTTCCCTTTCATGTTCTAGGCTCTCTTCAGATGCCTACGGATCCTTGGTCACCATCTCATGTTCAAGAGGCTATAAAAGCTAGCTGGAGCTCTGGGAAATGGAAAGGATGGGTGACTGGGCACTTCTCTTTAGGTGGGACTGGGCAGAGCTGGCTTTCTGCCACACCAGATTCCCAAATGCTAGAACAAATTGGCTCAATTTCTTTAGGGAAGGGTCTTTTGATTATCTGATTAGGATATAGGCCCCTGATTGCAGCTGGATATTTTGTATATTCTCAAGTGGGGCTTCAGACAGAGAGAGAAGGCGAAAGCATCCTCCCACGGAGGTGTGGTCACACTGCAATCCCTTCTCCTCCATTTCTCAATTCTATTGAGATTTTGGGCACACACACAAACACACGTGCCTGGCATGTTTTTCAAGCCACCAGGGCTGAGATTTGAACCATGACTGGCCATATGGGGTCCTGTTCCCTTAACCATTAAACTATGGTGCAAGCCCTAATCTTCTAATTTTCTTTAATAGCCACAAGAAAGAAACAATAGTTTCTTTCATTGTTAACTACTTTAAATTCCTTAAAATTATTAATTTTTTTTAATCTCTCTTCCTTTTAGTTAATTCCTTGAAGGAGCTTGTTTCTTTTCTTTTTTTTTTGGAGAGGTTTTTGCTATAGGGCGTGTGTGCTCGCCAGAAAGACAGAGAGAGATATAGAGACAGAAAGTGAGAAATCACCCCCTAGGAGGGACGGCCATGCCACAATCCCTTCTCCTTCATTCTCCTCTCGGGATCTTGGATATGCACGTACATGCACCCAGTGTGAGTTTAAGCCACTGGGTCTGGGACTTGAACCGCAGTTGACTACATGGGAGTCCAGCGATGTAGCCATTATGCTATCTGCTGGTCCCAAGGAGCTCGTTTCTTAAGTTGTTTGTCCTTTGTAAGTTGATCTCTCCTTTTTCTCACCTTCAGTATTGTTCGGATTTTGGGTAAGAGGATTTTGTCTGGAGATGACCTCTCAGCAGCCTTCTAATTTCAGTGGAATCTGAGTCTGGTGGTCTTCCACTTCCTGACCATGTGAAAGGATAGCTAATGTGTGGGAATGACTGCCCCATTAGACTGAAGGGCAGAAATGAAGCTTTACACATTCCCATCTCTCAGAGAGCTCAGAGGTTTGGAACTGCTGCTGAGGAGTCCTGCCTCTGGAACCAGAGACCAGCCCAGGCTGGTCCACAGACCCAGACCTGTGGATGTCCAGTGGGCAGCAGGCCTAGGACCTGTGATTACCTCTTGGTAAAGCCCTGTGTCTTTTTCTTTCTCCTTCCAATTCCTTCTCAATCCCGGCGTGCTTCTCCTCTCCTAAACTTAGTATGTGTGTGGGAGTGGGATGAGGAGGCGTGTACACCACTGTCAGAGGGCTCTGCGCAATTTCTATCTGTGTGTTCTTGATGACCCATCAGCCTCTCTGACCCTCAGTTTCCTCATCTGTACAATAGGGATCACAGCAGGGTGGATAAAAGAAGGAAATGAGTTAGCCTGTGTAAACTGGCTAGAACCCTGCTCGAGAGTTGTTAGTGGAGCAGAATTTCCACACTCAGGCCTCTACCTCCTTCCGTGCCTCTGCCCCATCCCCGTTCTTACTGAATCAGTTCCAGCACCCGCCTCTTCATGGCCCGGACCAGGTCTCGCTGCCCGCCAAGCTCCTCCTCATACATGGCGGCCCTCCTGTCCGCCTCTTGTTGCTTCTGTTCCAGCTCCGCCTGCAGCCTGGCTCTCTCTTCCTGACATCTGGGCACAGAAGACAGGGAGCTCTGGGGAAGTCACTCCGCATCCCTGACCAGAGAGGCCCAGCCTCTGCCTGGCCGAGAGCATCAGGGGAGAAGCTGGTGGTGTGCTCACAGCTGAGGTGCACGTGAACACTCCCACAACATGCACTCAACACAATGTGCACTGTGTACAACACACGCACATACTCCCACAACTCACAGACGCCACAATGCACACCTCGTACAACACACTGACACAACGTACATGCAACACAACATGCACCTTATACAACACACAACTTATGCAGCACACGCACACCCTCACGACACAATACATGTGTAACACAATGTGCACCTTGTACAACACACACAACATGCACACACTTTGACAACACGGCACACAGACAACACAATGTACACCATGTACAACACTCCCACAATACACACTCCTACAACACATCATACACACAACACAATGTGCACCTTGTACAACACACACAACACAACACATTTGCAATACAATGCACACCTTGTACAACACATAACACATATTCCCACAACACAATGCACAGACAACACAATGTACACACAAAGCACAATGCACACCTTGTAAAACACACATGACAAACACACATGACACACATGCAACACAGTGCACACACACAACATAATACATACCTTGTACAACACACACAGCACACACTCACATAACATACACATACACACTCACACAACACAATGTGCAACCTAACACACTCACACAATACAACACACATAAAACAATGTGCATCTTACACAAAACACACAAAACACATAACATAATGCACATCTTACACAGCACATATGCTTACAAAATACACACCATAATAAAACACACACATGGGGGGTGGCAGGTGGCATTATGGTTGAGGTCGCTGGATTCCTACATAGCTGACTGCAGTTTGGGTCTCAGACCTGGTGGCTTGCTTTCTTGCTTTCCCTTTCTCTCTCTTTCTCTCTCTGTCTCTGTCTGGTCAAATTAAAAAAAATAATAATAACATACAGAATTAGATAAATAAATAATTCTTAAAACACACACATAGTACATACCCTCAACATAACACATGAGACAACATATACACACAATACAACACACAATATAGCACAATGCACACATACAACACAATGTTCACGCACAACATAACATATACACAACATGTATACAATACACACATACACAATACAATGCACAACATAACACATATACAATACACACACTTATATAACACTCATAGACCAACACTCACACAATGTGCATACACAGATGCAAACACACACACAATACACATAACACACACCAAGCTGAGTGATGCATGTAGTCTGACCCCTGTAGGTTGACTCGCACCAGCTAGTCAGAGGAAGACAGTCAGGCTTTGCCCTCAGCATGCCTCTGGGGGATAAGTCAGCATTTCCAATTTTCTGTTTCTTTCTTTTTTAAACATTCCTATTTTTTTGAAATTATTTCATTTTATTAAGTATTATTATTATTTAAAAAATTTGCTATAGGACATGTGTGCTCACCAGACACACACACACACACACACACAGAAGAGAGAGAGAGAGAGGGGGAGAGAGAGAGAGAGAGAGAGAGAGAGAGAGAGAGAGAGAGAGAAAGTGAGAAAGAAAGCTGCCAGGTCCAGGACTCAAACTGTGGTTGGCCATGTGGGAGTCTAGAGCCTTAACCGTCAAATCACCTGCCGGCCTAACATTCCTATTTTATTTATTTATTTATTTTTAAACTGCCAGGTAGCAAATGTGCTTGTGAGAGAAAAAGAGAGAGAGAGAGAGAGAGAGAGAGAGCATCCTTCAGTGGGGTGTGGCCACACCACAGTCCCTTCTCCTCCATTTCTCTATCCTGTCAGGATTTTGGACATGCACATGCTCCTGGTGTGTTTTTCAAGCAGCTGGGGCCAAGATTTGAACCATGGTCAGCCAAGTGAGAGCCAGCTTCCTATACATAGTGCTTAATCGTTGTGCTACAGGCTGGCCCCGACATTTCCACTTTAAATGCAATTCTCTTGCAAGTAATGTTCACAGTCATGGCAGGTCTTGGGGGGTGGGGTGGGGTAGACTCTGCCCAGCTGGAAACAATTGTGTAGGAAGTGGGAGCAGTGCAATATTTGGGTGACTTTATGCTTTGAAATATTTTAAAAAGTTATATTACATTGTCTTGTCAATTAAGAAAAATAATGTTAAAAATATGGCCATCCTAAATTTCTGTTTCAATTTTAGGCTTGGAATTTCTTCAGCTCCATTCTTGCCTTTCCTTTTGTCTCTAGTGGTTTTCTAGAAGATTCCAAGAAGTCTACTGGATTGGAAATACAAAGGTCTTAGCCCCAGGTTCCAGTCTGTTACTGCTCAGCTAGTCAGGTCGGTGTTGTGATAGCCGGTAGCCATTGGTTAGGGTCCCATGCGCTCAGGGTGTGTGTGCGCGTGCATGCATGTGGCCCTGGGTGTGGGTATGCTTGCGGGGAAGAGGCATGCAGAGGCTTGACAATGAACTGAACTATTACTGTTTAAAACACCACCACTTGGCATCCGGCAGGGAAGAAAGTTCGGTGGGCCATGAAATCAAGCCAACAAGAGCAAGCCACAGAAACTCCAAAAGGCCAGCCACTGTGGCCTTTGGAACGCTGTCCTGGTACTTGGACATGGGTCAGGGTCACACTTTGGCTTTTATTTTTTTATTTAAAAAAATTTAATTTATTTTTTCAAGGTTTTTGCCATAGGGCGTGTGCACTTGCTAGAAGACAGAGAGAGACAAAGAGGCAGAAAGCGAGAAATCACCCCCCCCCCCCCGGCCGCCGGGGAGTGGCCATGCTGTAATCCCTTCTCCTCCACTCTCCTAGTGGGATTTTGGTCATGCATGCACATACACCAAGTATTAGTTTTAAGCCACCGGATCTGGGGCTCAAACTGAGGTCCACTCTGTGAGAGTCCAGTGATATAACCATTATGCCACCTGCTGGTCCCACTTTTCTGGACTTTAAAGATGCTTTCCAATCACCTTTCTGTCTAAAACGAAATTTTCTTTTTGTTTCCCTCTCCATTTTCTCCAACATTACTATAATTTTAAAAATTGTCTCCTGAATCTATGATCCCAACCTTTTTTTTTTTTTCTTTTTTTTTTTTTTTTTTTTTTTTTCCCAACCTTTTGATGGTAAGGAATTT